CATCAGCTGTCAACTTCGCGGTTTTGACGTTTTTTGCCATGTTGTCATTCCTGGCGTTCGATTCGTTGAAGTAGCAACCTACAAGTTTTTTGTGAAATCATATTAGATATTAGTTTTCCTTTTTGCTGTATTAAATAATAGTGAATAAAGTCATTTGTTAGACATCATAAACACTAAAAATATTTCGCTTGCTCCTCTGAATACAAGTGAGGCGAGAACAAAAGCTGCTCGCTGTTAAGCAGCGACAGAAGGAAGTATGTATTGATTTTAGCTATATAATTGTACATAACTTAGCCGGAAATATAAAATTTACTTTAAATTTCCGTTCTTAATGTTTAAATTTACGTTCACATAAATGTCAGCTGCCGGTTTGTTTCCCTACAACCGCCTTGCTTGTGTTCAGCCCTTTATATATCACAACAACTAGATATCGCTTTTTACCAGCAGGCGTCGCCCATCGCATTATGCTGTCAGCTGTTTCTTTGCCATTTAAAAAGTAGATATGTATGTGACACAGCTTCGTTTAATGATTTACTATAAAAAAAAAAAACTATAAATAAACATAAACATACATTCAAATCGACGAGCTTAAGTCGAAAGTATTTACAAAAATTAAATCATTTTAATTTGGCAAAAAAAGTTACTTCTTCGCAGTCGGTAGGATTCGAACCTACGCTCCCAGAGGGAGCTCAATGCGTTATAAAAGTAAAAGGGCTACAAACAACAACAAAGTTCAGTACCAAAGTTGAAAATACGTACTTGTTTGACAACAATGCATTTTTTATTGTCATTAAAAAATTGCAGCTAAGTAACTTAAGTTACTAAATTTAGAATAATATATCATTTGTAGCGTATGCTTACGCATAACCCGTTGATATTTACATCACTTACAGTTGTCAACAAAATAATGGGTTTGCGATATTTTCAGCAGTCAAGAATATTTTTCCTTCTCGATTGTTGCTTAATGGTCAATTTCCTTTGTTTGTTTGATTTTTATTAATTCTTTATGAAAGTATAGCTCATTACCTGAAAAACCATATCAATCGAAGTTTCAAACTATGAGAAAAAATTATAAAAATTCAACACGTGTTTACCAAAATTTCAAACTTTTTATTAATAATTTTTTTTTTTCATTTAAGTATGCATTTTTATAGCCCATTTAATTTTAGTACAAGTTTCAAGTAGGGCTGCATAATAACGTTATTTTTATCAATAAACGAAAAGAAATTTCGGTTTTGTTTTGAACGTTATGCTCAACAAAAAAAAATTCGTTTCGGTGATTATCAAAACAAACCAAAAAAAAACAAATCAAAAACATTTCATCAGAAAACAAATTCAAAAAGAATTGTTTTTTTTTTGCTTATCATGTTATATGTATCCCTTTAAAGAATTTTCTGAGTGCTCAGAATTTATGAGTATAAAATGAGCTTTCCTTTCGTCATAAATATGATTCTGAGACCAGTCAACCAGACTGGCTCATTTCGGACTCTGAGTTGAACCAAAGTATCAAAGTTTACGTAGAAGTAAAAGTTTATTAATAATCAGAATTATAAAGAATATTTGTTTTTAAGAACCAGAAAGCGTCATATTTAAGACTCTAACCTGGACTCATATTGGCGTGCCTTCTAAGAAGGCAAGTGTGCACTTTTCTGACTCTTTTTTGAGCTCATAATTCACAACTCAGAACTCTGAGACATTTCTGGCTCTCAAATGAGTCCGAATGTTTATAGATACATACATATACCGAAAATTGTTTACATATTTATATGAGAAGTATGTATGTACATATATTGAAATAAAACTATTACCTTTTTTGTTTCAAAAATCAACGAAACGCAATATTTTTTGGTAATCAACGAAACGATTTTTTTTTATTTTATTTTTTTTATAAATTTTATATAGCTGTGCAGCTTTGCATGAAAGTTTTTTTAAATAGAAAATATACAAAATCAAAATTAGGGGGAAAAAATAAAAGTTCACAAAAATAATTAATCGCCGTTTAAGCTTACTGCGCAGTCGGTAGGATTCGAACCTACGCTCCCAGAGGGAATCTGATTTCTAGTCAGACGCCTTAACCGCTCGGCCACGACTGCATTTGGTTCCGTTGTGTCAAGAGCACCATATGAGTTTAGTAAAAATTACTTACATACATACCCTGCAAAAATCGTTGGATCATGTAGTCTATTTGTGGTAAATTGGAGTACTTACAAAAGTGTTCCTCTGTCATGCTGTAGCGGACCAACTGGTGTCTCTGCGCTAGCTTCCCTGCCAGCCACGGCTCACCACTTTCCCCAGAAAATCAAACGATTTACAAACACATTCACAACTTTTTAGTCATCTCACCCACACACTTACAAATTTTTTGTTCAAACTGTCAAAAAAATGTCCCTTTGTTAGAGCTACATACCCGATAAGAATTCGTACTCTAATAAGAATTCTATGCGTTAGAGCGAGCAAGTTAGAAACATCGGAGTTTTGATGACAGTATACATACTGTGAAGAAATGTCACTTTGCGGAAATTTTGAAGGTAAGGATACGTATTTAACAATTTTATTTAATTATAATGTA